AACACGTTTTCGTTTTGCACTCATTTTACTTAGTTATTTAACACACGCAACCATTAAATACAGTGTTGAAGATCACATGTTTGACAATCTCACAACTCTATAGAAAAATCAGCGATCTACACAATAGCAGAGAGAGGAGCTAACTGACCTAGAACCCGCCTAGAACCGATAGTTCACGTGTCATTAGGTAGGCGGAGTGGCTGCAGGTGCTTGCGTAGTACATTCTGCGCATCAAAACGCTGTCTCGATGTCAATTGACTACACCGCCGCGTGGGGTGGCGTCGGCATTGTTTCTACGCGGCAGTTGTTCAAATTTTTGAACTTGGTTTTAATTTTTAATATTAAGCTTGGAGCCGATTTGGATAATTGGCGATTCTGTTTGTCAGCGTTCGGATAATCGGCGTTTTACTGTACTTTGATTGGGATTTTCTTATAAGTAGCCTATATTAGATGGGGAATTTTGTAATTTTTAGCCGGGAAAACCAGGAAAAATGTCTGAATTTTGTTTATAGATTCTGCTGACAACCCTGCAATAGTTTTAAACCTAAAGGTATTTTCAACTAGATTACCAGGCTACGAATAAATTTCCGTCGCTGGGGTTGTGACGAGTCGTTTTTGTCAGACAAAGACAGTGAGTGTGTATTTTTTAGGGAGGTAGTTCCACCTAAATAGTTTTAGGCAAGTAGGAAAAGATAAATTGTTATTTATTTAAAACAGCTAATGCTTGGTATGAATCTGGCCAAATAATAGACTTTTTGGCTCATTAACTTATTAAAAAAGACACAAAAACATTCTACATGAATTTGTCCAAGTAATAGATGACACTGAATACTGACGTGGTTTGACAGCAGACCATGATAGGCAACTAGGAACCACAGTAATGTAAAATAAACACAAGAAAGAAAGCCTATTGCACCTGAACCAACACACAGACCTGAGTGTTGTGGTTGTCAGTGACGATAATTTTTATTCAATAATTTTAAAACTTTGTAAAAACCAAATTGAATCAATTTTATTCTAACCTTTGTATTCAATCTTTTCAATTGGAATTGTGCAATCTGTACAATGTTGGTTTCTCTACAATGATGTTATGTTTGTTGCAGCTGGCGTGGTGCAAGTTCGACCTAACACAACCTACATGACCATCACGTACATCTTGGTACCGTGTTGATATTTGGTGTCGCTCTTATGGTTCTCTACTGGTATTACCACCGCCATAAAATGTCCTACTTCAATGAGGTACGACCCGCCATGTGAAACTATTGTTATATTTATTGGTTACTTAATGTTATATCTGTAATTTCTAGAGTTTGTCTGTGACTTCCATTGCATTGATTAAGATAAAACTGGTAATTTCTCTGAAGCTCTATATGTGATAATTTTGTCTCTGATTTAGCCTTCATGGGTGTCTGTCTTTGATTATAAAACACGATCGATGAGAATTACGCAACAAGTTTTTTTTCCGGGTATGGAAACATTAGACAAACAATGTAATTTTATATTTATATTTATGTATATATTACAAAAAGCTATAAAAACCATGTACAGTAGAACCTACCTAATTCGAATTTCAGAGGAAAGCCAAATATATTTCGAATTATTAGTCCAAGTAGTTAGTTTTAACGCACAGCGCCGCCCGCCATGTTTGCACCCTCCCCCCCACCTTATCGACCACATTTAAAAGCAGTGGCGGATCCAGCCAGGGGGTGCGGGGTTCGCGCGCCCCCCCCTTGGGCAAAGATTGCTTTTTTCCACATAGCTTAACCACGATGTCCATTTTGCCGTGTATAGTACTGTAACTCACAAAAATAATCGAGTTTGACAAACAACTTGATTATTTTCGTTAGTTGGAACAGTGATGATCAAACTAAGGCAAGTGCCACGTCCACGTCCTTGTTTAAGCTCTTTTAACTGACCTAGCCTTAGCCTAGCCCTGCAAAGGGTATTCAACTAACTGAAAACTGAACTGAATTCAGTGGTTTTAGTTTTGAGTGAGCAAGCAGTGTCATTTTGAAGCGTAAAAGTCATTTCACCAAATTCTGAAATCACTACAGTACTGACCGAAACATCACCAGTCGCATTGGACTGAATTGAAACTGGATTGAATTCGGCGTGACTGGAATAGAGACTCTGAGCTTTATTCCAACTAGCTGTTACCCACGACGGGCTGCTCCACCCCGTTTTACTACATTAGTATTAATAAAACTATTGATTTGTTTCAGTTAAGATAAAATAAACAAAACAGAATACAGTAATGGTAATACGAACAAATAATAACAGCTGAGGCCTTTCTAACATTAGGTAAATGGAAAGTTCCCTTTGGAAAGCAATTACGACCTTATAGGGCAATTTTTGAAATAATGGATAATATTGCGCAAGGTTCCTCGTCATGACGAACATTTTAAGTATATGGTTTATGGGGGTGTGACTTGTAGTTTTCTCAAAAGTTCATGGGTACTTTTGGCTTTATAGATGTCTATCACACATACACGATTGTTGTTGACGTTGATTGCTCGATTAGAGGTCAAACTTCAACTTCCGGTTAATCTTAAGGCCCGATTTCACCAAACACTTAAACCGCCGTTAAACCATGCTCTAACTGCAGTTAACTCTTAACTGACGAAATCGGATTTCACCACCCGCCGTTAGCGCTAGTTTAGACTAAACCGTCGTTAGATAATTAACTGCCCAATTTTGCCCGGTTAAATTCTTTAATCCTTCGTTAAGTAAATATTAGCTGGCTTTAAGTTTAAAGTTTAGTTTATATTATAGAAAATAATTATTTTGGTGTTATCTTTATTGTGTCTCGGTTCTTGTAATTCTTTTTGTTACATATATATAATGTTACCACAGTTTTGACTTCAGTTTTTTTTCACTACTTCAAATGTACCAAACTGGTTAATGAACAAACAGAATATTGAACATCCCTGTAAAAAGTTGGATTTTGAGTCTTGACTCGACCGCAAAACTCAACCAATTTGTTCCTCGAAATCTCGAATATGTTTTATCAACATCGCTTTGCCTTTATTTACTTATGTTAATTGTTTTGGTATTTATTCTTGCTTTCTGTTGTTATTTTGATCAGAATCTATTGTATTCCTGTAAGCTTGCTGCTTGCTGTCTTCAGTTTTGTTTTCACTACCTCATAAACACTGATTTCTAGGTTATGTTTACTTGCTCCCGATACAGCCCGGTATTATGACAGTTCACTGCCACCGCCACCTGGATTTTACTCTAAACTTTCGTTTATAAAACCAGCGTTAGTTTTGACGTGTTTTCGTTGGTGAAACCAGATTTCCTTACCTGTGGTTTAAATAATTGGTTCCGAAGTTGAACTTAACTGCATTTTTGCAGGCCTAGGCTACTTCTTTGTTCTTAAACCACTGTACGGTCGTTATCTTTGATTTGTATACGGAAAAAGTCCATTCATAAATTCCTTAAATTCTTAAGTGCGCCCCCCCCTCAACAAATTCCTGGATCCGCCCCTGTTCAAAAGAGGCGACATACGTAATTTTGATCACCACAGTCCATATTACAATAATCAGCAATAACATTGCGTACTACTTTCATGCATGCTCAAACCCCCTCAGCTCCTGGACTATATGGCAAGTTGAAATATAGAGAGTTTGATTTATAGAGGTCAGAATAAATAAAATTCAAATTAAGGAGGTACCAGTTTTAAGTGTAGAGAGTTTGATAGAACGGAGACAAATGAACACATTGTGGGAACATCAATAAGAGTGTCAATTAATGTTTCAACAGGTATATTTTTTGTCCTGAATTCGAATTACAGGGGCTTACGGTAATGCAGTTCGAGTTGTAGAGGTTGACTTCGAATTGTGGAGGTAACAGTTTGAATTACGGCAACAAAATTTTAACTGTAGAAGCTTGAGTATGTGCTAATTCCAATTGTTGAGGCTGCATTAAGAGTCAAAATCACTTTGAATTACCAGTATATTATTTTTTTAATTTTAGAGGTTTTCGAATTATCAAGGTTCGAATTAGCGAGGTAATACTGTATAATCAATAAAAGTTTACATTGAATAAATCAAAAATCCCACTTGACATATTTATAAAAGTATATAGTAAACAAAAAGCCCAACACCAGAGGTAACACACGGAGCTACACTCCAGGAACCTAGTGGCATGAGCGGTGACACACGGGTGTGAGCTACTCTCAGGCTTCAACTGATTCATAGGGGTAGTAGGGGGATAGCGAAATTATGTTCAATCGGTTCCTAGAAAGAGGCACATCAAGTACGTTACTCTTGAAACTCCCGGCTGGCGATAACACATATTTTTCTATAAAAATAAATGTGCCAGAGGAGAAAACTTCATTAGGACACCTATGAAGGGTTAATGTTGTTCAGTGATCCTTTAAGGGAATACCTAGATGTACTATTTAGTGATTTTTTTCAAGTGGTCCTATACAATTTTCACTAGAACTGTAGAAACTAGAAACAACATACAATGTTGACTGGGGAAACATATTTTAATGACACACATTTGAGTACTTTTGATACTCATTCTGCATTTCAAACTGCTGTCTTATTCAGTCTCATCTCGTTTCTAGTAAGGTACCAAATAAGTTATGAATAGTAGTAATGTGGGTAAATTTACATTTTATAAGGTTTCTAAATCTAAACGCCTTTAAGCTGTTATTTTTACATCTTCACTTTTTTCACTGGAATTTAATTCCATTTTTATATATTGCTGCTCCACAATTAGTGGGTGAGTAATTTACAAATGGATTCATTTTATTATCTCGTAAATGCATGACGATTAGTATAGTTTCTAAGCACTGTCATACCTTTTGGATGGATCTACAGTTTATAATTTTATTTATAAAACATAAGGCGATTGAATATATTTTATCGCTTTGAATTAAGGCTTGAGTATGAAATATTGTCCAAAGCATATTTTTTGTTTTTATTTTTTTTACCACAAGCAAGGGTAGTTGGATTCACAGGAAAAGCTGTTTAAAACACAGTTTTCTCGTTTCAACAAACCAAAGCACTGTGAACCTTAAATAGCTTTTAGCACACTTAGACTTTAAATTGCTTGTTTGGTATTGGTTTAAGCAAAGCACGATTTACTACAGCATGGCACTTTACATTTTATACTAAGAAATTATTTATGTAGTGAATTCCTTCAAATCTACTTTACATTGGAATGGAAGTGTTCAACTTTCAACATCTTTTGATGAACATAAAACCATACGTACAAATTCTATCTAGATATTGTTTTACTATATTTTGGACCAGAGTACTTACCGTGTTCAGTTGAGATTTTGCTCAGCCAATTGTACTAAACATGTCTGAATGCGCCTAGGAGGCTTCTTGTATAAAAACACCCCTTAGATTGATACCAAATTATTGGAACGTGCTGATTTAGCAGGGGTTTCCTGTACTTTTACTCAAGAATTTGTTAAGTTTGTTTAACATTTTGTCCTTAACTGAATAAAATTTAAAGAATTTTTAATTTAGTGTATCATTGATTAGGGAAAAAATCAAAATAGTTTTTCTGACCACTAAATCAACACTGACAGAGCTTGAGGAACAGAAATGCCAATCTTTGTGATCTCATTGGTTCCTATTATATAAATTTTCTTCTTAAAATGATTGTAATATTTTTAACGAACCCGACTTTATTACTTAGAGAAATGGTTGAGCATGTAAACTGAATTATGATTCGAAATGTAAATTTGAAATGTGTGACGTGACATAGGTGCCTACTATGGAGCCTCATCCTCTGCCCCCACCGAGCCCCACACTTGGCACACGCCCTATCCAACTCATTGAGATAAAAGCACGTGGAAGGTTTGGAGCTGTGTGGAAGGCCCAGTACAAGAACGAACTTGTTGCTGTGAAAATACTCTCAATTCAGGTTTGTTTGAAACAAAATTTACATACAATGGTACCAATGTTTGAATCTTACTCTTAAATGTTTCAGAGTAGGAACTAATGAAACTGCTATAGCTATTTGTGTTTTAAGAGCGCAAAGTATGTCATTACCGCTTGAGAACTGTAAATGACTGTAAGAAACTTTAGCTGAGTGCGGCCATACATTTCGTGAGCGGCAATGACTGTTTGTGCTTGTTATAGGCTACCACACGGTTTTTCCTACCTCAATAATTAACTTATGATAACACACAGTTTAACTTTTTAGTTGTATATAAAATGTATTAGGTTATGTTTGCTATTTTATTATATTGAATTTTAGCCTCCTGATCGCATTTAAATACTATAAATTGGTGTAAAATACCTGCATTTATGCGATCTTGTGTTGTAGCTGAGTTGCTACCGGTTTCAACTCACATTGGAGTCATCTTCAGGCAGTTATAAGATGTTTTCTCGCTTCATTCGAAGGTCGTCAATGGATAATAAATAAATTTTTGTTTATTTATTTATTATCCATTGACGACCTTCGAATGAAGCAAGAAGACATCTTATAACTGCCTGAAGATGACTCCAATGTGAGTTGAAACCGGTAGCAACTCAGCTACAACACAAGATCGCATAAATGCAGGTATTTTACACCAATTTATAGTTGCTATTTTAGGTTATGTTTAGGGATGAGCCAAATTCCGATACTCGATACCTCGATACCATCGATACCAGTGGTATCAAGAATTGCCGATACTCGATACTTCGCTTCATTGTACTCGATACCGATTCTGAAAAGTGAGGTTAATTATAGGGGTGGGCGAGTAGTGATTTTTCAATTCGAGTCGAGTAGTTGCGCGTTAAGTAGGCCTAGACCCAGGGTTTAAGCTGCGGTAGCATTTTTAACATCTTGCTATTCACAACTTTAAAATGCTACATAGTTTTGCAGGCTAGGAATAACTTATAGCAAATTTTCAACAAATAAAATTGAAGATGTAACTTAATGTTCAAACATAGGCCTATGTATTATTAGCCTACTGGAATTTTTTATTTTAAATGCTTACCATATTAAATAATATTTTGTCTACAGTTAACTTAGTTGTTTGAGAGTTTGCAGCATTTGTTGAAACAATGTTCATCCTAGCCTAAATAGGTAGTTTAAGTATACCAAATTGTCTAAATTATATGGTTACTAATTATTAGTACCTGTTACCTTAGGCCTAATAAAAAAATCGGCTTTGACTACTTGTTGGCTGCAGCATTAAATTTACACATCACTTGTTATAGTGTGTTTTATTTTTTCTTCCTCCTCACTAACATGATAATCAACCTGGGTAACTAACTTTTTAAGGTAACTTTAAGAATAATTATTTAAATTCAATTAAGAAACAGAATTTGTAAAAATAAATTTATAAAACAGAAAACTAATATCAAACTACATATTGTATCATAAGTTAAAAACATCAATATGCAATAAGGTTACTTCATCTGCCTTAAGTTTAAAGGTTATGGGTACTAGGGCTATTCTCTTCACTCATTACATTTATAAGAATAATCAAGTCACTCGTCTCTGACAGACTGAAGATTAAACAAAAACGTAGTAGGCCTATTAAGTTATCTTGAAACAAAATCCCACATTAAACACTTAATTTAAAATTAAAACACATTTCTTTGTGGCCCGGTATAGCCTAGGCCTATTTGGCCTTTCTTTGATAAAATCACATCTTTTTTTAGTTTTAGTTACAATTCAAACTGTAGTTGTCATGTTTCTGCCATCAGATTAAAATTGCACAATCAAAATCATAAACAGAATATGTTTATTTTACTTTCTTTAAACTTCCACTAAACAAAATCAATTTTATTTTAAGTTACATATTCACTTCAAAGTAAAAACATTCAAAACTGCTGACGTTGACATAACTTCACTCCAATCCATTGTTAATTAATTTTGAAGGGGTATTAATTTTTCCATGAAATCAGCTACGAAATGTTATCTGTAAATGTATAATCAAATCAAATCAAAACATCTTTATTTTCTTACATGTACATGGGAACAAAAATAGTGTCAATTATAAAGTACTAAACTAGCCTAGATATAAATTAAATACATTTTAAGGATGAATATTTATTCAATGAGTTTCCCCATTGTATAAGGCACCTTTCCTATTAAATGTTTTTTTTTTTATTTAGATTTAATAATTTATAATTTGATTCCTCCTTTATAGAGGCAGGTAATATCCACGATCCAGCAAAATTTTTTTTTAGAATTCCAGCTTGAAATGACAATATCCTTTTTATGTCTTGTATTGTAACTATGTGGCACAACTGGCTCATATTTTAGGCTGTCTCTTTTAGCTATACATGTTATTTCAAAAGTATACGCTGCAAAAACTGTTAAAATATTTAGATTTTTAAAGTGAGATTTAACTGATTCATCTTTTTTAAGGTGTAACATAGTTCTAATGGCTTTTTCTTGCATGATTAGAATTGTATTTAAATTTTTATTCGTAGTGCCCCATATAGTCCAATGCCATAGTTTATGTGAGAATGAATATGGGCAAAATATATGTTTTTGAGTGCATCTAAATTGCACAAATAAGACGTTCTTTTCAATGCATACACTCCAGAATTAAGCTTTTTGAATAATTTTACGTGTTTATTCCAACTTAGATGTTCATCTACATTCTACATAGAGACCTAAAAGTTTGGCTTCAGAAAGTTGTTCTATTGATTCTGAATCAATGATCAAATTGTGTTCAAGTTTCTGTTTACTTTGTTTAGTCGAAAAGGACATAATGTTTGTTTTTGTTGTATTAAGATTCAAATTATTATTTTTTAGAAATTGCTGTATATTATACAATCAGCTGTGTCAATGATTGTATAGCATATTATGTGTATTCTAATCATCCAATCACTATCCAGGACAAGCCATCCTGGTTGGCCGAGCAGGAGATATTCAAGTTGCCCCATATGAACCATGAAAACATTCTCCGTTACATCGGAGTAGAGAAGCGAGGAGAGAACTTGCAAGCAGAGTTGTGGCTCATCACTGGCTTCCACGAGAAAGGCTCACTATGTGACTACCTCAAAGCAAATATAATCACTTGGTCACAACTGGTGCACATCGCCCATTCTATGGCCAGGTAGTTTTTATTTATTGTCCTTAATTTAATTCTGTCAACAAATATTGTGTTAATTGACATGTGTTCAATGTATCATTATTCAATCTTTCTTCCCGTTATCTGCTAGTCACTGAGGTTAATGTCTCTTATTCTAGTTCTTAAAAGATTCATACCTATCAAACCTATCATTGTATAAATCTAAATCTTAATTTGTGAAATGTTGTTGAGAAGCAGTCAAATTATTTCATAAATTAAATTATTACCTAGTGTCAAATTATATGTCCTACCAAAATACCATCTATAAGTCTTATTTCAACCATTGTAGGCTTAAATATCCAATAAATGTTATCTCAACTTCTGTACAGAGGTTTGATGCATCTTCATGAAGAAATCCCTGCTACAAAAGTAGAAATGTACAAACCAGCAGTGGCTCATCGCGACTTCAAGAGCAAAAATGTTCTTCTGAAGAGCGATTTGACTGCTTGTATCGGAGACTTTGGTTTGGCTCTTGTTTTCCAACCTGGCAAACCATGTGGTGACACCCATGGACAGGTCAGTTCCCTTATGCTAACATTTTAAATATAATAGTTTTTTTATTGGTAGTGATTTTATTGATGTATTCTAATGGTATATCTAACCTACAAACTGTATTAAATTATAATATTTTCAGAATTAATGTAATAGTTGAGATTATCCAGTTATATACTTCCCATTTTTCTCTATGCATATTTTCTATGGCAGGAAAAAAATATTCCCAATTTTCGAGACGGAATTACATTTGATTTGGGAATTTTTTGGGACGGGATTAGATCCGATCGTTGACGATTTTGCCGCTTCGCGAGTGACGATGCAGCTATGGCGAGAGATGTTCATAATAGTTCCGCAAATGCAGGAGGCGAAGTCATTTTGACGATCGCGCAGTGACCGCGAGTCATTTCGATGGTCGTACCGTGACCACAGAGTCATATCGACGATCACGCCGTTATTGCAAGTCTTACCGACGATCACGCCATGACTGCAGGGTGATTTCGTAGATCACGCCGTGACAGCGAGTCATACCGACGATCCTGCTGTGACTGAAAGTCATCACGACGATCACGCTGTGACTGCGGGGTCATACCGATGATCACGCCGTTACCGCGAGTAAGAGGTGTGCAAAGCAGCAAAAAAATTTCGGTTCAACTCAAAAGATTTTCGCAATACGGCATTTTTCAATTCATACTTGTCAATGGAGTGAAATAACAATAGGCTAAATTAAATTTACCACATTTGTATAATGGAAATTTTTGTTGATGAGGTATTAGGCCTATTCATACATATATGAATTTTATGTGAAAAAATCTTTATTTTTAATCATATATTAGAAGAACCTGTATTGCTGGAAAATGTCAGTGAGCTGTCAGTTCATAATTTTTACTTGCAGAATCATATTGTGGGTACGCGTCTAATTGGCACCGCGTCAGATTGGCACCGCGACAGATTGGCACCGCTCCTAGAGGTGCCAATCAGTCATAACAGTACACGACAGATTTGAACCTGGAGAAAGGGGTGGTCCCAATCTGTCGTGGTGCCAAGCTGACGGCTGCTGCAGAGGTGCCAATCAGTCGTAACAGTACACGACAGATTGGAACCTCGAGAAATGAGTGGTGCCAATCTGTCGTGGTGACAAGCTGACGGCGACCGCAGAGGTGCCAATCAGTCGTAACAGTATACGACAGATTGGCACCGCTGCCCTCAATAGGCCCACCTTTTCGTTTTACTTACTAGTCTGATGTTTGAAAGCAGAAACGTGTCAATACTTGATGCATGTCAATTAATGTATACACATTGATAATAACATTAACTTTAACAGCACAAACCGCTTCGTAAATGGTCCATCTAATCAAAGTTACAGTTCCTCAAGGCTTTTAATATTATGCCATTAAATTTAAGTTTATAATTTGGAAAACGTCTGATACCTACTAAAGTATTTGGCACAATTGAATGAAACCTTGCAGTCATTTTTCGGAAGGGGGGTGTGCGTTAACCTGGTTAAAAAGGGTTTTTTCATTCAGAAGTTACAGCTTGTCAAAGATATGACAATTTATCATTCAGTTAACTAATATTATTTCAATGAAATGATATTTTTTATGCATTATAGAGTGATAAATTATGTTATATTTGAGATGCTGTAATTTATTACTTAATTTACCTTTTTGTAAACAAGATGCGGTTGCACGCAAGTAGGCCTTCCCTATAAAATAATTACCGGTACTTCCTTCTTGGACCAAAACTCTAAAATCAGGTAATGTATAACTCGAGGTATGGTTAAAGTGAATACTGTATGCAAATCTTCTGAAATGGGGTTATTTAGGCGTGAAATTTACGTGAATTAAAATATATAAAGCTATGGAAATTGAAAGCGGTCGCCATGATGGATTTTCTACCTCATATCAGAACTTTGAGAAAAAAATACTTTTAAACACTTTCTTAGTATGCATCTAGATATAGGCTACATGCCATGATGTCGTGTTAGTTAAGCAGTTTGTAACTCGAGACCGGCTGGATCTTTTTAATGATTTATGATTTGTTGGATTCGTCTTTAACCCGATTAACACATGTATCTTCAGTTCAGTATTTAAATTTAGGGCTAAGCCCCACATATGTATGTTATGCGTATGAAGAAAAATATGATGGATTTTGACCATATGCATACATTAATTTAAATATTTTCGACACAGATGATTAAACATTTGACAGGTAATGTAATTGAAAGTCATTTTCAGCTGTTTTATGTTGTCTGTGATTGTTTTTTAAAAGGCTTATAAAGGTGGCCGGTTGATTTGGTTTTTTTTTTACTTTTATGGGGTACAAAGTTTGCCGGGTCATCTATTTTGTAATGTACAGTTCGCTCAATGTTTCTGTACATAACAATAAAATACGTTTTAAATTAATATTAAAGTAATATTTAAATAGTACTAGCAGTGTACCCGTCCTTCGTATGGGGTTAGCAAATAAGCATAAAGTGCTTATTGCAGTTATCCTCAAGCTTTGCTTTTGTAATAGGGAAGGACACGATTTGGTAAAATTAAATTTGTTTCTTTAAATTTACGCTATGCTATAGTACTTTATAACACATCTACCATAGCCATAATGTTTTACCACTGCACATAAATAATAGAAAAAAAAAATCAAATCACACAATATCACAAATGATTTATTAACTTGAAAACATAACCATAACTGTAAACAATCCTACTTTGACAGTTCACATGGAGTAGCACAGCATTTTGTTGCTGCTTAGTTCAAATTAGCTGTTGTCATAAATGCAAAAAAAAAATATAGTACTGCACCCTGTTGGTAAATGTTATAACTTTTAATGCTTTTGCATATCATAGAAATCTTTTTTTCAAGTTTGATATAAAAACTTTGATATATAAAATGTCAAAGAAAACATGACCAAAAACGTAATGATATTTGTTTTTGTAGATCATAAAAAGTTGCACAAGCTACATATTTATACTGAACATATTAATTATGAGTCAGTATCTCTTGTTTCCGTGGATGTACGTACGCCCCAACAATAGGAGTCGGACCCGGAAAACAAGACGATTAGTGATAATTGACAGACTCTGCCTCACTCTGACCGTTCCAAAACTTAAAATATTTTTAGAATCAACTTAAAATTTGATTAATGTTTCGGGAAGTCGTAACAGTTTGATACGTTTGCCCTTTGCAGTATTATTAATATGGTTTACACAAGAATCTATAGAATGACTGTTGAAGTGATTGACTTTAAATTAAAGAACTATATTTTAACGTTTAACGTTTTAACGTAATTTATAATGTACGTTATTTAGATGGAAAGTAAATAAAAGAAACGTCTTATAACATTAAAAACATATATTTACGCTTATACTGTTACAAGATGGTAAATACACAAAAAAATATGGTAAATGGTTACCACTTACCATTTTTTTTGTACATTTACCGTCTCTACTTGAATACTGCAAGTAGTTAAATCTCATTCACGAGGAACAGGTGTAGTATTGATTGACTTTAGAGAAGGATTGGATTAATATTTCAGCTCCACTCAATATTGCACGCAGAAAACTGCGTTGTTGTATTTTAAAACCTCATTCAAGAAAGGGGTGGTGCCAATCTGTCGTGGTGACAAGCTGACGGCGGCCGCAGAGGTGCCAATCAGTCGTAACAGTACACGACAGATTGGAACCTCGAGAAAGGGGTGGTGCCAATCTGTCGCGGTGCCAAGCTGACGGCGGCCGCAGAGGTGCCAATCAGTCGTAACAGTACACGACAGATTGGAACCTCTAGAAAAGGGTGGTGCCAATCTGTCGTGGTGCCAAGCTGACGTGGGGTGATATTTCATGGCCTCATGTCAACGAGGTTCCAATGTGACGCCGGGTGCTAAAACACCATGGTGCCAATCTGTCGTGGTGCCAATCTGACTGCGACTCCTACCAGTTAATAAAAGTTTGTATAAAAGATTGCTATTGGACGATCGGGTCACGCCACTTCCCCAACCCATGAGTCCATGTTAACCGTCACCTCCAGACCTCAGTTATAGCCAGCTTCCATCCTGAGTAACTCCGGCCTGTTCGGTAGTTAGCAGTTTTACAGTTTTAAACCGTAGTTCTTATTAACTTCCCGATTCCCGTAGTGTACGATGTCAGGGTAACGTAGTGACATTAATGTAACTAACAGTGTTCAAGGGTAGCACCGTGTCAACGAAGATAATTCATAAACAAATTAAAACATTTGCAAGATTTATACAGAAACTTTCAATTGGTTTATATTGATAAAAATAGAATCAGACCTACAAACTACCAGGTATACATAGCAGACCTACAAAAATACCAAATTTATCAGTCTAAAACATCAATCTTACAAGTTAAAGATCAAGTAAGAAATCAGACTTGTGTTATTTTTAGAATGATTTGTTTTGGCAATTTTTACAGTAGTAAAACATGTCTCACACTGCTTGCACTTAACAAAACTTCTCATCATTTGCAATGTCAAAACAAAAGAATTAACAATTAAAGTAGTATTTACATGTAAAGAATTAATTAAATAAGAACGCCTTTGCAAATGAAACTCAACAACAACGCGCTCCTATATTGCGGGTATTACATTGAATTTCTGCAGGCATTTTTTTGTATATGGATACTGACTCTCTCATGAATGGAATAGTATTTTGATCACCACTGAATCGAATCGGAATTTCGATGCATTGCACACCCCCACCGTGAGTCATTTCGACGATCGCGTCGTGACCGCGAGTCACAAGTTTCTATTTCACCCATTTTTCGGTTTTTATAGATCAGTGCCGCAAACGGTAAAAATTAATTTTGTCTGTCTTTTTTGGTAACACTGCAATACCAAAAAATATGTATGTATGTTCTGTAGACTTTAATAACAAACTCTTTTTATGCACTGGAAAAAATTCCGTCCCGTCCCGAAAATCGGGAAGGAAATAAAAATACTGTCCCGTCCATCCATAATTTTCTTAATGATTTCTGCACTATTAAGATTTATTTTTTTCTTTGTTATATAACAACTACTTAAAAAAACGTCCTGATGTATTATTTTTTCTTAAAAATACTTGTAGGCCTGATCCAATCCTCTATAGTTTAGACACAGTGGCAATTTCAATATAAGATAGATCAAGCTTTTGTTTTATTTTCCAAAATGCAGAAGCATGTAGGCATGTGCCTTACAGCATTTCAAAATCAATGTACACGATCAAGAGTTAACTGCTAAGCATGTAGTGTCCCAAATAAGACTTTAAAAACTCAAAAATACAATCAACAATGACTAGTATTGTTGTCTGTATGTTCAGGTGGGCACCAGAAGGTACATGGCCCCAGAGGTGTTAGAAGGAGCCATCAACTTTTCCAGGGATGCTTTCCTCCGCATCGACATGTACGCATGTGGTCTCGTCCTGTGGGAGCTGGCTTCAAGGTGTACAGCTCAAGAGGTAGGTCGCTTATTCATAAATATAACAATCAATCCATAAAGCCCTTGGGCTCCTTTTATAACAAATAGGCTCTTTTACCTCTGTAGTAGTTCAAAAGTTCCATCAACAACGTGCAGGTTCATTTTGTTGCTAGCGCAATAATGTAAGAGTAACACATCAACACATCAAAATAAACAAATACATAACACTAGACACAAAACACGGTCATAAAAACAAACCATAGAGCCATCATCATGACTAATCGGTTCTAATAAATCGATGTTGATTGATAATAAGATTTATGTTCTATCAAATATATTTATTAGCAACCCTCGTTTTATACCCACGAAAAGACACTAAGGGATCAGGACACTTTTGATAGAACTACTATTTTTTATTTTGAAAAGTATCGTCGACTTTTGATATAATATCGCTCCACATTCCATATTATATCCACATGCTATTAATTTGAATGGAAATAGTGCTTTGATTTATCTAATTATAACTTTATTGTCAACATTTGAAACCCAAACTACTTTATTTTTTGTTTTTTCAACATTTGTTTTCTGTTCAAGGGCCCCATCGGAGAGTACCAACTTCCATTTGAGAGTGAAGTAGGGCAGCATCCTTCACTGGAGGATATGCAAGAATGTGTTGTTCACAAGAAACTGAGACCAGAGTTGAGATCCACATGGAAATCACATCCGGTAGGTCTTTTATTTGGGTTTACCCATCCATATCTGTAGTGGTGTCTAAAACCAAATCCCAAACAAAAACTCAATTTCGATTTGAAATTTGATTGACAAGTTTTGAGATCCAAAAAGGAGTTTTAAGTTATTTGATTTTTTTATACAAAATGTTGTTTTAGGCCTCAAGTGAATTGCCACATATTCAATATTCATGTTTTTATGTCATGCTCATGAATCCAATTTCTTTCAGTTTTCATTAGGCCTATATCCTTTTATCATAACTTGTATTTTTTTGTAACCTTAACCAAGTAAATAAAAAGTTGTACGTTTAAGTATCTAGGTTCAAGATTCTGGATTATATTTTAAGCCATTAACATGTTAAAAAAAACCTTTTTCCTTCGCTATAGCTGCAAACCTTAATAGACTACTCATTAAACCCAATATTTTAAAAACAGGGAATAAAAATTACATGTGTTAAGTAATTTTAAAATCCAACTAGGAAAATGGAAATTTTTTTAGTCTGCAGGTCTTGGCTCATGTTTATGTTAATTTTTTTTGTTTTGACTTAAGCAGAGTCTATACCCAATAGATGTAAGGGATCCTACTGAAGACTTAAATGCTGGTAGCATTGTGGGGGGGGGGGGGGAGTGTAGACTGCCCTATGATAGTGCTAATGCACTTGTATTATCTTTGTTTTACAGGGTCTAGGCGCCCTTTGTGATACTATGGAAGAATGTTGGGATCATGATGCTGAGGCTCGACTATCTGCGTCTTGTGTCATGGAGAGGATCGCTTGTCAATCTAGACTTCTGCAGCCCTCCCTACATTCCCCTGCATAAGGTAACTTCTGGTCAATCTCAACTAATTTATATATGAATTTTATTAGATCATTAAACATCATACACATGCAATTGATCGTGTTAATTAGTATAGCAAGTTAACAATTCAAAAAGATACATGCAAGCAAGTTTACATCGATTTAATATTACCTGCGGTCACGGGATTATCATCATCGTCTTTCACAATTGCGGCCAAATCCTGAGTATCCCCCCCCCGGTTGTGAAGACATCATCTTCTTCCGCGGTCATGGAAACATGAATTTTTCACGAATTTTCAATTGAGCGATTGTTGCAGGCATGTTGGGTATCGGTATCAATTCTTGATGATTAATTCTTGATACCGATACCAATATCCAAAAATCTGTGGTATCGAGAGTTGACAGATCCATAATTTTTTTGCAGCTGTGCAGTCTGACTATATTTCTTTTATCCCCAAGTTATTGTGTTTAATAGACTTTTTCGTGTTACAGAAAGCGACAAATACAACAGAGTTCAAACTTGTGCCAAATTGGACCGACAGAGACTGTATCTGTGTTGTGTGCGTACTGATCGGACGTTTATATTATTTTTAAGGATCAGAGTTTTATTTTTAAGTATGTAATATAAATAAGATAAGTTTATTTTTTACATAGGTTAGGTTGGTTCATATGTGATTGTTAATTTGTTTTTTTCCGTTGTATTCTGTCTTACAACAGAAAATCTGCGTACATCGAAACTGTAGGCCACTGTAAAACAGTTGGAAACAGTAGATCACTATATATTTATAATATTTGAATGACGATGTTTTGCACTTTTATAAAGATTAACAGTTGAAATCTAAATTTGATTTACTCAATATTAATGGGAAATTAAAGTACATTTGAAATTTACACGTGGTTGACCTTTAACCTTGCTATTTGTGTCTATTGCTTGGACCAGTTGATGGTTTGGAAAATTACCCACTTCTTGATATATAAATTTAATGTAATGTGCCCAAGTGGGGTTTGGAAAGAACATCATGCTGCAAAATAATTCCAGCATTTTGAGCGATGATTTCTTTGGTAATTCAAATTATTGAGTTTTGATTTGTATAGTAGGGTATTTATGATTGTGAAAGGTAACAACAGTCTATGACTTATTTCACCAACTGGTTCTCCTTAAAAAAAAATTATCGGGTTAATCTTAATAAATAATTAACAACATTACGCTATCTCTTTGAGTAATTTTGATTAACAATTGGATTTGATTCGACGAATGTAACGGAAAAGAACAGCTGAATTTTATAGTTGACTCAAGGTAGTGTAGCATTTTTTATGTAAAAAGAAATTAGGTTAGCCGGTTGATTCGTAACTTAGTTCATAGGAAAGCCCCTGAAAATGTTGACTAAATCAGGTTTGTATTTATGTATTTTTATCAATCACATCAGAACAAGTATTATTCATTATTAATCTGATAGTGAGTTTAATCTTGACTTGTTTACAGTTGTCAATCCGATGTGTAGGTTAAGTGAGAACACTGCCTGGTATGTTTTTGTATGACAAATATAAATAGCCGAAATATTTCTATTAATTTTCTTTGTAAATATGTTTTATCGCGTGGAATAGCTCTTTTCAGTTCTTAGTTTAATTGTTTACCCAATCTTAAAGAAATGTTTTCAGAGAAAGAAAAGGACGAAGTGTTAGGATTATAGGAACAAGTAATTTATGAAAGTCATATCGCTGTTCTCGTTCTCTGAGGTTGTATATTTTCAGCACCATATCAGATCAGACATATTCAGAAATGAAAGCCTGATGGATTTTTAACTGAGGGGAATTGTTTGAACAAGTCCAAAGAAAAACCAATGATATTGTGTGTAAAATATGCCTCAGCGTGTTTTAAGGGGTCAAAAATTGTAACTCACTTCAGAGTGACGCGTCTTTTTTTTAAATGACTACCAGTGATTTCATAATCTAAACTTTAAATGATTCATAAACTAGAAACTTAAAATGGTCTTGAAAACATAGTATCCTTTTTTTGTTATAGGCCATGTATTTAGTTTGAAATCTGTATAATCCAAAACTAAATAATAAACATTATTATCTAAATAATAGTGTCAAAAGTGTTTTGGGTTATATTCTGCTTTCAAATTCTGAGTCATGGCATGGGCAACATTTTAGTTTTTAAATAGCTCTAAATAATTACAAGATTGATATTACATTGTTGGCAACTAAAATTGTTAAAATAGTTTCTACTGTGCCATATCACCTTGCGGTTGTATTTCCTGTCAATGATATTATTTTTTCAGCTGTTTAACTTTAAGTAGGCATACTTACTGGACTTGAATGGTGTGGTTGCTTGTTTGAGAGTGTTGAAATTTGGTAATATGTTTAAAATACTTAATACCTTACTGAAGAAAATATTTTGGATAGGAAATTAAATTTAAAATAAATGGTTGTCGTTGACTTGTTGGTTGTAAAATGTGGCTCCAAGAGTAAAATATATATATTTCTGTATTTGAAAAAATAAAAAAATATTTTATGGAGAGTGTCTAGTTATGAAAAAATTGTTGTCTCACTGGTCTATATATTCTTCTCCATCTAAAAAATTGGTTTTGTGGTTGCTAAACACAAGTTTATATTCTCGACTATTCACTTTTAAAAAATTAATAAAATAGCTGTCATATATAGTTTTTATTACTGATTAAATTAATGATTTTGAAAGTACATGTATGTTATATTTATAGTTACTAGCTCTTTATTTATCGTGTATTTAAGAATTCATCTATTAGTGACATTTTGTATAGTAGCTTGGAGAAGATTTTAGATCCACTTGATTCACAATTTATTCACCCAATGTTGGTGTCTTAGATTAGGTATTGGTTGGTGTTGTGTGAAAGAGTTGGGCATTTTCTTGTTTTGTACTTAAATTCTTGCATATTCCACCAGTAATCATTGGAAATACATGTTAAAATGTATCAAGATTTATAAAAAAAATTTTAACAAAAATTTTAATCTCTAGTAGTTTTGGGAGTAAATCTAAATCTGTTCAAAATACATGGGGGGAGGAGGTTTGGGTGGACCGATGCTTTAAGTTGTCAAAGGAGGTAACTGAGGTGAATTTGATCATGATTAAATGTATGAGATATAAAAATCAAGACAAGAAATACAATAATCGGCCTAATCATTTTTTTTTTTTTTTTTTTTTTTTATTAAAGTATTGGGTTATTGTCATTATCCGCTAACCCGATATATTATATACATTGTGCATTTTTGTCAAAATTTTATGTTTTTGATAGTAAAATACTTTTATTTGGATATTTAACTATTCGTCCTAAAACAAAAAGAGATACATTTAGTAGCAGTTTTTGCTGATCTTTGAATGTGTTCTCTACCATAAAGTTAAAAGATTAGGTTTAGTTTGCTAATCCTGATGATCCTAATGGGTTGATTTTTACCCAAACACTTTGGTTTATTTACTATTCATTGCTACTATCCAAACCTATCCACGGCTAAAGAGGGCTCAAGCCTTGAAACAGCTTCAGTGGGCTCCCCACTCACTGAAAATCCACAATTAATTCACAATTTTTTACTTTGTCTCTTGTTTAAGCTGTGGGCAACCAACACACAATCAACAAAATTTACATATTCAAAATGTTATTAAATTCCTTTGTAAATAATATTGAAGCCTACTATGAATTCGGCCACAGGAGTTGCTTATTATTGACAATATCATTTTAACTCAAATTTTTATTAGGACTCAGCAAATAAAGTAAAAAAGTCAAAATAATTCAAATTGTTTTTCTATGTACAAATCGGCCAGGAAAATGCCCAAACTAGGATAAAAATAGAATGTACCTCAGAATTTGAAGTAAATATTGCTGTAATTTTCCTAATGTTTGTATTGTTTTTGGTTTTTACAATCTGAATGTTCTGTATTTTTAAACTCTGTAACTACCTCAAAATCATATATCAGGTACAGTTAATTGTTTAAAACAGTTCTAATTTGTATTTACATATCACGTATACGAGGGCTGTTTGGAAAGTTGTAAAGCTATCAAGATTAATTTTATAAATCTGTGAAGTTGATGACTGTAAGTTCTTATGTCACGTTTTGAGAGGTACATCAAGTTTAAGCATTCTGAAGCGGCCAAAGTGCTGTTTTATCTGTTTTTAACAGCAGAGATCTATTGTATGTAGGATCAACAGTATCGGCTTACTAACGATTGGTCGTCTATCCAACCCAACACAATAAAAAACTTTCCCGATTGCTCTGGCTCTCAAATATTAAATGAAATACTTGTTCTTATGCAAAGGATTAGGTTTTGCCCTTTATTTTTTAAGCTACTGCTACCTTAGGCACCATACACATTACAAAACTAAAGATAATTTAGGGAAAGATATTAAACAAAACTTTACAAAATGATTCTGTAACATATCGATAGAGAGATGATAGTTTCAAATAACCAATCTCGACTATGTGTCTAAACGGATCTTGTATGTAATGCTAAACTCCACCAATCTAATTAAAAGTAATATTTGCATTTTAGAACAGGGTAAAATATTTTTCTCTGTTAGAATTTATGAAATATTTGCAATGTATAGTTTTGGTGTATGTTACAAAACATGGTGAACTTTTAGATGGATCTCTCAAAATTTGGAAGTTGGTACCATTTATTAAAAGCTGTAACAGTTCAGTATTAATTAGTTTACTGGAATTACAGCGATTACTTAAATTATATTTTGATAACCAGCAAAGCAGATTTATCTGTTAATCAAATTAGAGAAACGCAAGTTTTGAACTACATTTTTTCCAATTGTATTTTATATGGTTAACACATATAAAATACAATATACACAAAAAACTGACGTAATATTTGTTTAGTGTTAAGTAATTTGGTATGCCTAATGTAGCATTGCTTGGATTTGACATTAGTTATCAATGAATGTTTGGGTCGACTATATAAACAAAAAATACATACCATTGTGCAGATAAATATTGGTTCCATTCACAAAAATTAACATTCAAATAGCTTTAATTACAGTACACAGGATGAAGATTTCTTTACATTATGTTGATAAACGTGCAGTTTTTTTTTTTTACATTAGTAATTTGCTAATCATTTCAAGTTTAGAGTGTAATGTCAATTTCTTTGACTATTTCTTTTTATGCATATTTTTATATTTTGGTGCGTCGCCCCTACAGGCATCTAAAACTATAGTTCAATCACAAGTACAACATTTTGATGTTTTTCCGATACAACTTTTGATGGCTTTTGTTTTAAGTATTTATCGTCTGTGTGTCTATTTTACGTTGTAGTCATAGCTTGTGCCCACTTTGAAACAGAATGGCTGCCTGCTTACTTTTATTTAATGCTTGTACGTAGCCTATGTATAAATAAGTACGTAATACATAATACTGGTATTTTATTTGTTGTATAGATCATGATATATTTGTATTTTTGTAATTTTTGGAACTGTACATTTATAAGTTTTTATTCTCTTTATGCATTCTTTGCTCTTCTTGGGTGTATTGTTGTATTTTTTTTACTTTTCCATAGCATTATGCAGAGATTGGATGGTTTATAATTCGGTTCCATACACTTTGACATGTTGAATACCCAATTGACATTTCCAAAACTTATTTCTTTTTATTGCAACTTTATGAGTCATTAATCTTAAGCATCTACATTGTCATTGAGATTGAATATTTTATTTGTTCATGTAAGTGCTGTTGGTTTTTGTAGTGAAACATAATATCTAACTAAATACATAATGCATACATAATATTGATTTTAAGGAATCATTTCAGTGGTTATTTTCCCTGAAAAGGTAGTTTTTGTCTTACAAGTTTTTTTTTTGTTTTTTTTATCACGTTTGTAAAAATTGTGTTTTTAATGAGATAGGATTGAATCAGTAAGATAACTTGTAACAGAATATTACTCGTTTGTTTGTTTTATAAATGAAAACTATCTATTTCGTACAAAAATATATATTAGTTTCTTTATCAGTCATTTTCTAATGAATCATGTACTGTAGTAGACCCCCTCTTAACCGACTATAATGGGACTGGACCTAGGTCGGATAACTCAAAAGGTTGGTTAAAACAGGCAATCCCTAAAAACATAACAAAATGAAGTGCTATTCATTTGTAGTTATATAATCATTATTTTGTAGTCGTACTTGCATTGTTTATAAAATAAACTACACTTATCTCCTTTGTCCGTATTGATAGAAAAGTCACAAATAAACACAACACATGGTTAAGTCAAATACTTTCAATGGAATAAATTATAGTTGTAGGCAAGAGTCAATAAAAATTCTTATTTTAATAACTAATATTAACTCTTTCAATGCGGCCGTCATGTTTACTCTTGAAAATTCCACTTATCTCAATGAAAAGGAATCAGTCGCCGGCGACTGACCCGCACGCAATGTGTTAATTGATGCTTTCCAAATCTATCGTAATACAGTACAGAACTTTTTGTCAACATAAAAGATACTAGCAACCATTTTTTACGAGACAGGATGTGCCTTGGAGGTTCGAGCAACAAAAACTATCTTGACCTTGGATTCATTAACCCCCCTACCCTGCCCTCCTTACAATTTGCGTTTTTTGTTTACTCTAGCCCTAGCGACAAGATAGTTCTAGATTACCTGTATTACAAAAATAGAGGCTGTTTTCATAAACATAATTTTTTGGGATGAATACAAAATAACTTATTCTTAGTCACATCCTGTAAAGATAAGCGTATGGTTACCATCGCCGAGCTTGAGAACGGAAATGCCGAGATTCCTAGAAAGTGGCGGTTAAACAAACTGTTCTCAAAGCAAGGTCGGTTAAAAAAAACTGTAATATTTTACGATCGAGGGCGGATAATCTCATTATCGTTTAATGCGAGGTCGTATAAGAGGGGGTCTACTGTACAATTAACAATGATGTTTTACAAATAACAATTGAAATTTGGTTTGGCCTCTTTGTACAATCCTATCTCATCCACATTGGTTAAATACTGGATTAGAACAAGCTTTACCAAAAAAATTAATAACATTTAGTTTAGTTATAGTTTTAGTTTTAACTGGCTTGTTAGTATGTCACGGGATCATTCTAATTTATTAGTCCCACGTAACACTGTACTGTCGATTTTTCGTTGAATGTCTCCTCCTAGCAGGTCAGCCATTTTGTAAAAGTTCCTGTGTCAAATGTCAACTTAATTACCTCTTTACCATTCCAGCTCCATAGTACTTAACGCTAGTATAACATAAGTTTATTTCTGAGTCGCAATCACTTAATTTCCACTCACATTTCCCTGGGCATTTGTTGTAAGCCCCATTGGTTTTGTAAGAGATTTTGTATTACAGTTTTATAGGACAAGCAATATTCCCCCTATTCCCTCCTGTGACATGTATATATATAAATATAGATTGGATTGTTTACCCTTTAACCGTGCCTCTTATCTTTCATGGCTGGGTATTTTCAAGCCACAGCCTTAGGAAATTTTAAACCTTTAAATGTATTTTCCATAAGGGCACGGTTAACTATGGTATTTTGAACTCTGGGTTAAGCTTCATTTTGTAAGTAAATACCATATTTCAAAATATATTTTTCCTGAGAAACTAAAACTTTACAATTATTTGTGTTTGAATAGCTTACTTGTACAACTTGTATTTCAACTAAACGAAAAACATCACCATACCAGATTATCTGAATCACTGTAACTAAAATTGATCTGAATTGCCCAGAGTTCATATACTAAATAGATAGCATTCAATGTCGTGTGACACCCATTCTTTTGACCATGTAAATAACAAACCAAATAATTTGATAGATTGTGTACAGAAATTTAGTTACAGATTCATTAAAAATTTGATAATTTTCCGTCCTTTTCTTTTGGTTTATATAATTTATTTTTATACTAACATCCATTTCTTACGTATCAGACAAAGTTGATGGTCTGCAATACGCTAATCTTATCAAAGTTTTTCAGCTTTGAGTTATTTATTTTATTTAATAGTTAGGTATATGAATACTTTCTTTGGGTTTTTCTGGTAAAATACATAATATTTGTTGTAACATAATTCTCCGTATGTCATATTCAGTTATAATTTAATATACAGTACATACATAATAGGATGCATAATATTTTTATTATGTGTATGAGTTCATA